TTTTGGAAAGATTTTCCTCGTTTCCTAGGGCACTTCGTGTTGTATCTTACATTTTCCGATTTCTTTTCCGCACTCACCCAAGATTGCGTTCTAATTTTCATAAAAGTTCACTTGCCTTATCTAGTTCAGAGATCATTTTTGCTCGCGATAGACTTATAACCAATTGCCAGAAAGTTGGCTATCCTGCCGAATATCGAGCTTTATCTTCCAGACAAGTTATATCCTCGTCCAGTTCCATTTTGAATCTTAATCCATTCCTAGATTCCGAAGGACTTATCCGATCGTGCGGAAGACTCGAGAATTCTCCGGGTCTTTCGTACAATGAGAAACATCCTGTCATTATTCCTTATAATTGCCAATATTCACGGCTTTTAGTCAAATTTGTCCACGATATTAGTCTTCATGGTGGTAATCAGCTTGTCCTACGCTTGATAAGAACTCATTACTGGATTCCAAAAGTAAAAAATCTTATCAAAACCACCATTTGAAAATGCAAACCATGTATTATCTACCGGAAAAGATGTCAGCAACAGATGATGGCTGCCTTGCCATCTGAGCGATCTGAAATTTCGCGTCCATTTACTCATACGGGACTAGATTTTGCAGGTCCATTTGATATCAAATCTTATTCTGGTAGAGGTTTTCGTATGACTAAAGGCTATGTATGTGTGTTTGTATGCTTTTCGACGAAGGCTATTCACTTGGAAGCTACAACAGATTTGTCCACATCTGCATTCCTTGCCGCTTTTCACAGGTTTGTTTCTCGTCGTGGTTGTCCACTCCATCTACATTCCGATAATGGAGCTACATTCGTAGGAGCGTCAAAGGTTATCCAAAGAGAATTCATGCTATCGTCTCGCGAATTGCTCACTTCCAGCTACGCTCACCAGAACCTGACCTGGCATTTTATTCCGCCGGGTGCTCCGCATATGGTTGGCCTTTGGGAGGCAGGAGTCAAGAGCTTCAAATCACATTTCCGTAAAACCGTAGGTTGTTTTAAATACACGTTTGAAGAATTTTCCACTCTTCTCGCTCGAATTGAAGCCTGTCTCAACTCTCGGCCTATTTCTCCACAATCGCAAGATCCATCAGATCTTTCCGCCTTAACTCCAGGTCATTTCCTCATAGGTTCTCCTATCCTTTGTCCTATTGATCCTAAGATTAACGAAAGTCCGATATCAATTGTTAATCGTTGGCAACGTCTGAAATTAGTTCATCAAAATTTCTGCTTTCGTTGGAAAAACGAATATTTGAAGGAGATGCAGAAACGAACTAAATGGAAGACTTCCGAAGACAATGTTAAACCCGGGACGTTAGTTGTCATAAAGGATGAAAATCTCCCTTCAAACTCTTGGCGGCTAGGTAGAATTGAAAAAGTGCATACCGGATCCGATAAAAAAGTTCGAGTTGCCGACATATATACGCAACGTGATCTAATAAAAAGGGCAAACCATAAATTAGTTTGCTTATTCGAATCCTAGTCATCCACTTCCTCTCTACATTCTCTAAGATCTTCCAACCAACTTTATTTCTTTCAGAGCATCATGCCTAAACGCCAACCCAAAAACTCCAAAAGCTCCAATAATCGTCGCCAACAACACATTAAGCTGCCTAGCAACTACAACAGGTTCCTATGCCGTCTATGCTCTCGTCCGCACCCATTACGCACCTGTCGCAAATTCCTAGCTATGAACATGAAAGAACGCCTCGATGCCGTGAGAACTCACAAATATTGTCAAAATTGCTTAGCTCACGACCACTCGCAAGGAACTTGTCTCTCAAAGCACGGCTGTCGACATTGTAACAAGTTTCATCACTCCCTACTCCATATTAATCCTAGGCTTTTAAAAGATTTCGGGATAAGCCCAACACGCTCGAACTCTCGATCGCGATCACCGTCTCCTCAACCCTCGACGTCACACTCTGCGCGTAGAAAAGCAGCCCTACCAACACCCTCCACTACTACATTATCGTCGTTGTTACGTCAGAACAGCACAATTCTTTTGCCAACGGTGTTAGTGAAGATTGGCTCCACAGCTAACCATGCCCGTAGCCTCCTGGATTCTGGTTCTGCCGTCAGTAGGATATCGAAAAGGATGGTGGATAAGCTTCATCTCACAACTTTGACCATGGAAGCTGAAACTATGTGTCCTATAGTGCTGAAATCTCGTTTTGATTCAGAATGCAAGATTGAGGGAATATTACGTGTTGATAACCGAATCACGTGTAAGACTCCTGCTAATTCGTTACCGGCGAGTTTTAAGCAGCATTTCCGGGATTTGTTTCTAGCGGATCCGAAATTTTTCGAATCCGCCGGAATTGACGTCATCATAGGCGTCGATTTGTATCCGAAGGTGATGAGAGTTTCACAAAACTCACAAACGTTTTCACAAAAACTGGGTTGCCAACGGCGCAAAGTACCATCTTTGGATGGACCATTTACGGCGCTTGTCTTACTTAAACCATGTGCATTTGTATATTCGATAAAGCAAAATAAAACCAAAACAAACGAACACAAATATTTTATTAATTGAATTTTCCAATAAAATATATTCATTGAATTCCATATATCCATATATTTCCATTTATTTCCTTTTGCAACAAATATTGTTATTTATTCTTTTCCTTTCTATAGCACAGATGTCCAAAGGAATCAACTTACTAATATTAACATTAAGTTTTCCTAACCTCACAACTATATTTTGTAATTCCTTCTAGCAGAAATAAGTATTTTACGACAATCCTTATTCCTTTTTTCCATAGTTTGTACACTGCAAGGCGGGCGGTAATGTTTATGCCAAACAACAATTATCCATTTATTCATAATCTCCCCGCAAATTCCTATTTCTTATGACATATATCGATACTGAATGCTATGAATTGCAGCATATGTAAAGTTGTCATAAAGTTCTAAATAAAACGTCAATTATTTCAAATATGTCGTAAAATCTTATTTCCGCCAGAAAGAAACTTTCTTTTGTGCAAATTGGTCCACTTTCCTATCCTTGGTAAGAATTCCTTATTCCTTAAATAATTTAATAAATATCCAAAGAAAAGAAATCCTAATTCCTGTGTTTTATTTTCTTTCTTTTTTTTCATTCCTTGCTTATTAAATTATTCTGAGTTACAAAATATATTCATATATTTTGTTTTGGCTCAGAGAGAATAATAAAGTTTTCCAATCATCCAGCCTTTCATCCCCATCCAAAGCTTTGAGCGAAACATTTTGGTCCAGTTCGAACCGGATAATTTGGAAGATATAATTCTCTCGGAGATTACAACTCATTGTGCCTAATTCTACCAACAAAGGATTACTTCCAACAGTCAACAATTCCACAGGTTCGTTTGTTTTACTTATTTTTGCTTAATTTAGTTTATCCATATACAAAGTGCATAGTGTTTGTGTTGAGTGCATTTATAAAAAAAAAAAAAAATAACTACATACATATCTACAAAGGAAAATAAAATATACAAATTAATAATTGAAAATTCCGACGGCATTTTATCCGTCGGCAACTTAATAAAAAAAAAAGAGAAAATAGAGAGTGAAGAAGTTTTTTTAAAAAATATATATATATATAAAAATTGGTCCAAAATTATATGAAAAAAGCCGTCGGCAAATTCAAATTAAATTTAGTGGAAAATTATAGTTGTGTGCACCGAATTTAATATCCCCTACTTCTATTGGTCGTCCATGAGTTGGAGTTAAAAGCGTGAGTTTTCCTAAAAATATCATTAAAATAGCTTTTTTGTCCACAAATTACTAACTTCACCGGTATTTATTTTCTTTGGTCCACCGTTTCTTTAAAATATAAGCATACAAATTAACGTTTTATAATAAAAAAAAATAAATATATTAACCGGTGTTTATTTCTATTGATCCAACGTAGGGCATTTTGTTCTTTTGCTGTGAATATTTTCTCCATATTTCCATATTAATTCCAAGTTAAATTCTCTTCACATTATTCCCTATTCAATTTCATAACTCTTTATTTTTTTTTTCGTTCATATATTATTAAATTTAAATAATTGCTTTGCTTATTTCCAAACAATATTAATAGTCCACAATAATATTATTAGCGAGCCCTTTAAATTACATACGCTTGTACGTTTGTTTACTTCATCTACAAGCAGTACATTAGTTCATGCGTGTGTATATCCATTTACAAGTATTACCATAAACATACGTGTTTGTGCGTGTGTACATCTACTTGCTTGTTTTCCTTTCTGCTTTATTCGTCATACGTTGACTGATCATAATTAACCCTTGTGTGGTCAGTGGGGGCATACATTTTTTATATTATTTTTTTCCGAATATTTTAATGCATTTTGATCTAACCATTTATGATTGGCAATTAATAATACAATTAGTAAATATATTTCTCTTTTTTTGTGTTGGTAATAAATAATATTGAAGCAAATTGCAATAAACTTTGTCCATATTTCTGAAGATTAGTAAAATAATTATATACGCTAAATAAATCCAGTTTACTAAATACACATTTTATTGCACGTTTTGTCCAATAGAATACTTTTAATTACGAATATTCTAATTCTAAAAAGGAAAAATTTACTAATTGTCTTTTTGTTCGTGCGACCGAGGGTTAATTTACATATTGGTAAACAACTTTATGGAAGAAATTGTTGCTATTTTTTCTACAAGGATTGTAAATAAATAAAATAAAAGAATTTCTCCAAAAACAAATATCGTTGAATAGGTTGACGAACTTTCTTATATACTTATTTTACTTATTTTTTGAAGCTGATCCTATAGTCCAGTAACGTAAAGGTATCAATTCTTCGAAAAATATACTTTATCCAAATTACTGGTTTTATTTCTGGTTTGATTTACACGTTTATTCCGATCGGTTTATTTACAATTTTTTTGTGGTTTTAGTCTCGATTTGATTTCAATTCCGACATTTTTAGATAATTTCATTCCGAATTTCGATTTGAATTGTTGCTAGTGCTTTTCCTTTTGTCCTTTTGGTATATTAAACATGTCTCTTGATCACTTTATCCGCTTGGCCGATAGTATAGTTGAATTTGAGGCCGATTATAATGAGAATCGTTATCCAATCAATTCTCTTCATGCGTTAGAAATCCACAGGCAGGAAATAAAGTCCACATGGGCTTATGAAAAATTTTTGTTCGATAAGGACAACGAAGATGATACGGATCCCGGGGAATCGGATGATATAGAAGCATTTAAAGACAAATACAAAAGTACTTATGTTACTTATTGTAATATATTGATAAAACTATCCGAGCTGACCGATGCCCTTCGGGATCAGTCGCGTGAGAAATCTGACACAAGTCCGATCAATTCCCAGTTTTTCCCAGTCCAGCCTGTATCTTCCCAGCCTTCGCATAGCTTTCACCTTCCTCCGTGTGAGATAGAGACCTTCTATGGTAATTATGAATCATGGCCGACTTTCCGTGATCTATTCACAGCCATGTTCATACAGAATTCCACATTAAGCCCTGTTGAGAAGCTTTTCCATTTGACTCAGAAGACTAAAGGAGAAGCAAGGGAGATTGTTAAGAAGAGTCCTTTAACAAATCAGGGGTTTGATTTAGCCTGGGCAAATCTGACAGAACGATTTGAGAATCGTCGGGTCCAAGTTAACGGACAACTTCGAATCCTATTTAATCTCCCTAGCATAACTTCCGAATCGGCAAAAGCTATTCAGCATTTGCAAAGGGACATAAACTCTTGTATTTCCATATTACGACTCCATCGCATAGACGTTGACAGCTGGGACCCTATTTTTGTTTTCTTGTGTTCCAATAAGCTTCCTGATTCAATTTTGACTCTATGGGAACAAGGCTTAAAGGATAAAACGTCGATTCCAAAATGGTCCGATTTAGATTTATTCCTGACCAATCGATACAGGACTTTGGAATCCGTTTCCGAAATACGTTCCGCTACATCCAAGCCTACCGAGTCCAAACCTAAAAAGGTGAATCGTCCATCCAAAGTTGTTAATGCTTTTCAAAATAACGTGTCCCAGCCTAAATGTCAACTATGTACCAATGAGTTTCATCCAATACGAAAATGTCCGAAGTTTTTGCAAATGGGCCATTCTCAGCGCCTCAGTGAGATTAAAAAACTTAGCTTATGTCTCAATTGCTTTTCCAAAACGCATTCCGTTAAAAACTGCAACAGCAAAATCAATTGCTTCCGTTGCCATAAAAGGCACAATACCTTACTCCACAAAGAAACCGAAGTTTCCACTTCATTACCGGGCCCTAGTACAAGCGCCAATTCCAACCTTAATCCAAATTCAGCACCATTTGTAACTAGTTCGAATTCAATTACTATACAGTCCGCTCCTACTTCGGATGCTGAAGTTGTTACATCTTGTTTTACAGTAAATTCCACTGGCGTTTTACTAGGCACTGCAATGATTGAAATTTGGTACTTGGATAATAGATACCCTGCTCGAGCGTTAATAGACTCAGGTTCCGAAGGTTCTTTTATTTCGGAAAGGTTGTTTAATCTACTGAAACTTCCTTCAACTCGCACTAATGCTCAAGTTTCTGGACTAAATAACACAATATCCGCTAGTGTTGATAAACAATGTTCATTCGTGATTAGTTCCATTCTCAATCCAGATATAAAGCTGCTCGTTACAGCTTTAGTAGTTCCACAACTTTCTGGTAGTCTTCCTTCCAAGACTTTTGATCGCTCACTCTTTTCCAAACATCCTCCAATCCAGTTAGCTGATCCACATTTCCATACAAGTTCGAAAGTGGATATTCTCATTGGTGGTGATGTATTCCCTTCGATTATGCGATCTGGTGTAAAGCATAATGTTTGCGGTTCACTAATGGCGCAAGAAACTATCTTTGGGTGGATTCTAACTGGTCCTTTGTCCAATATCTCTTCTCCCAGTTGTTCCTTAGTTTCCTATTTCTGTGAAATCTCTTTAGACAAAGAGATTTCACGTTTTTGGGAGGTGGAGAATCTTCCAAGGAAGAACTTTACTTCATCATCTGATAAATTTTGTGACGATCTTTTTACAAAAACTACCAGAAGAGCTAAAGATGGTCGGTATATTGTTTCTCTTCCATTTAAGGATGGCTATCCTGAGAAACTTAGTTTAGGCCAATCTCGAAATAGTGCTATGGCACAATTTCTACGAAATGAGGTTCGGCTACTTCGTTCACCTGACTTGAAATCCATTTATGACAACGTGGTTGAAGAATATATTGATTTGGATCATATGTTCAAAGTTTCACCGCCACACAATTCCAAAATTTGTCCATATTACCTACCACATCACGCTGTCATAAAACCTGAAAGCACTACAACAAAGGTACGCGTTGTTTTTAATGCGTCATCTCCATCTTCTAATGATATCCTTCATACTGGTCCAATTTTACAAAATGACTTGACCCTACTGATCCTGAAATGGAGATTTTTCAAGTATGTCTTCAATGCTGATATCCAAAAGATGTATCGGCAAATCCTAGTCGATCCGAAGCATACTGTATTCCAAAGAATCCTATTCCGCAATAATCCAAACGTAATTATCCAAGATTACGAATTAAAAACAGTGACATTCGGCGTAAATTGCGCGCCTTACCTCGCTATTCGGACTCTACTCCAATTAGACGATGACATCGAGGCTTCTTATCCAAAAGCTAGCCTTATTCTGCGTAGTTCCATGTACGTTGACGATGAATTGGCCGGTGCTCATTCCATTCAAGAAGCGAAAGAATCTAAAAAGCAGTTAATACTTGCACTTCAATCGGCTGGATTTTCCCTGAGGAAATGGACGGCGAATTCCAAAGAAATCATTGACGATATTCCCGTTAACCATCTGCTCTGCGAAGATTTCCTAACCTTTGACGACAGCAGCACAGCGAAGACGCTAGGAGTTCGATGGAATGCCCGTTCAGACTCGTTTTTCTTCGTAGCGAAACCATTTCCCGATCAACGTCAACTTACAAAGAGAGAAGTATTATCGCAGATTGCAAGATTATTCGATCCGGCCGGGTGGCTTTCTCCAGTTGTGATTCTAGCAAAAATCCTGATGCAGACGATTTGGATAGAAGGTACCAAATGGGATGAGATTCTTTCACCGAAATCCTTAGAGCACTGGCAGAATTTCCAATCCAATTACTGCTATATTAATGAAATCCGGATTCCCAGATGGGTAGACTATATTCCTAACGCTGAAATCCAAATCCATGGGTTTTGCGATGCTTCCGAAGAAGCATATGCAGCCGCGTTATACATCCGAATAGCTGACGGTAAAAAGATATCCAGTCACTTAATTGCTTCCAAAACAAAAGTAGCTCCTGTAAAAACTTTGTCTATTCCACGACTAGAGCTTTGTGGTGCTGTATTATTGGCGGATATGATTGATAATTTCCTTCCTCAATTTGATATCAGTCATTATTCCTTGTTCTGTTGGACTGATTCCACAATTGTCCTTTCATGGTTAGCCAAACCTCCATGTTTTTGGCTGACTTTTGTTGCAAATAGGGTTTCCAGAATAACGCAAATTACTGATCCAAAACTGTGGAATCATGTCAACTCAGAGTCCAATCCTGCAGATTTAGCTAGTCGTGGAGTTTATCCAAAAGAGCTCGTCAACAACCATCTTTGGTGGTTTGGTCCTGATTGGTTAAGAGAATCCAGAGCAAATTGGCCAATGTCTGATAAGGCAAATATACCTGATACAGAAATTGAAAAGAAGAATGTGAAAGTGCACTTTTCATATTTCCAACATTATGAGGATATTTTGGAAAGATTTTCCTCGTTTCCTAGGGCACTTCGTGTTGTATCTTACATTTTCCGATTTCTTTTCCGCACTCACCCAAGATTGCGTTCTAATTTTCATAAAAGTTCACTTGCCTTATCTAGTTCAGAGATCATTTTTGCTCGCGATAGACTTATAACCAATTGCCAGAAAGTTGGCTATCCTGCCGAATATCGAGCTTTATCTTCCAGACAAGTTATATCCTCGTCCAGTTCCATTTTGAATCTTAATCCATTCCTAGATTCCGAAGGACTTATCCGATCGTGCGGAAGACTCGAGAATTCTCCGGGTCTTTCGTACAATGAGAAACATCCTGTCATTATTCCTTATAATTGCCAATATTCACGGCTTTTAGTCAAATTTGTCCACGATATTAGTCTTCATGGTGGTAATCAGCTTGTCCTACGCTTGATAAGAACTCATTACTGGATTCCAAAAGTAAAAAATCTTATCAAAACCACCATTTGAAAATGCAAACCATGTATTATCTACCGGAAAAGATGTCAGCAACAGATGATGGCTGCCTTGCCATCTGAGCGATCTGAAATTTCGCGTCCATTTACTCATACGGGACTAGATTTTGCAGGTCCATTTGATATCAAATCTTATTCTGGTAGAGGTTTTCGTATGACTAAAGGCTATGTATGTGTGTTTGTATGCTTTTCGACGAAGGCTATTCACTTGGAAGCTACAACAGATTTGTCCACATCTGCATTCCTTGCCGCTTTTCACAGGTTTGTTTCTCGTCGTGGTTGTCCACTCCATCTACATTCCGATAATGGAGCTACATTCGTAGGAGCGTCAAAGGTTATCCAAAGAGAATTCATGCTATCGTCTCGCGAATTGCTCACTTCCAGCTACGCTCACCAGAACCTGACCTGGCATTTTATTCCGCCGGGTGCTCCGCATATGGGTGGCCTTTGGGAGGCAGGAGTCAAGAGCTTCAAATCACATTTCCGTAAAACCGTAGGTTGTTTTAAATACACGTTTGAAGAATTTTCCACTCTTCTCGCTCGAATTGAAGCCTGTCTCAACTCTCGGCCTATTTCTCCACAATCGCAAGATCCATCAGATCTTTCCGCCTTAACTCCAGGTCATTTCCTCATAGGTTCTCCTATCCTTTGTCCTATTGATCCTAAGATTAACGAAAGTCCGATATCAATTGTTAATCGTTGGCAACGTCTGAAATTAGTTCATCAAAATTTCTGCTTTCGTTGGAAAAACGAATATTTGAAGGAGATGCAGAAACGAACTAAATGGAAGACTTCCGAAGACAATGTTAAACCCGGGACGTTAGTTGTCATAAAGGATGAAAATCTCCCTTCAAACTCTTGGCGGCTAGGTAGAATTGAAAAAGTGCATACCGGATCCGATAAAAAAGTTCGAGTTGCCGACATATATACGCAACGTGATCTAATAAAAAGGGCAAACCATAAATTAGTTTGCTTATTCGAATCCTAGTCATCCACTTCCTCTCTACATTCTCTAAGATCTTCCAACCAACTTTATTTCTTTCAGAGCATCATGCCTAAACGCCAACCCAAAAACTCCAAAAGCTCCAATAATCGTCGCCAACAACACATTAAGCTGCCTAGCAACTACAACAGGTTCCTATGCCGTCTATGCTCTCGTCCGCACCCATTACGCACCTGTCGCAAATTCCTAGCTATGAACATGAAAGAACGCCTCGATGCCGTGAGAACTCACAAATATTGTCAAAATTGCTTAGCTCACGACCACTCGCAAGGAACTTGTCTCTCAAAGCACGGCTGTCGACATTGTAACAAGTTTCATCACTCCCTACTCCATATTAATCCTAGGCTTTTAAAAGATTTCGGGATAAGCCCAACACGCTCGAACTCTCGATCGCGATCACCGTCTCCTCAACCCTCGACGTCACACTCTGCGCGTAGAAAAGCAGCCCTACCAACACCCTCCACTACTACATTATCGTCGTTGTTACGTCAGAACAGCACAATTCTTTTGCCAACGGTGTTAGTGAAGATTGGCTCCACAGCTAACCATGCCCGTAGCCTCCTGGATTCTGGTTCTGCCGTCAGTAGGATATCGAAAAGGATGGTGGATAAGCTTCATCTCACAACTTTGACCATGGAAGCTGAAACTATGTGTCCTATAGTGCTGAAATCTCGTTTTGATTCAGAATGCAAGATTGAGGGAATATTACGTGTTGATAACCGAATCACGTGTAAGACTCCTGCTAATTCGTTACCGGCGAGTTTTAAGCAGCATTTCCGGGATTTGTTTCTAGCGGATCCGAAATTTTTCGAATCCGCCGGAATTGACGTCATCATAGGCGTCGATTTGTATCCGAAGGTGATGAGAGTTTCACAAAACTCACAAACGTTTTCACAAAAACTGGGTTGCCAACGGCGCAAAGTACCATCTTTGGATGGACCATTTACGGCGCTTGTCTTACTTAAACCATGTGCATTTGTATATTCGATAAAGCAAAATAAAACCAAAACAAACGAACACAAATATTTTATTAATTGAATTTTCCAATAAAATATATTCATTGAATTCCATATATCCATATATTTCCATTTATTTCCTTTTGCAACAAATATTGTTATTTATTCTTTTCCTTTCTATAGCACAGATGTCCAAAGGAATCAACTTACTAATATTAACATTAAGTTTTCCTAACCTCACAACTATATTTTGTAATTCCTTCTAGCAGAAATAAGTATTTTACGACAATCCTTATTCCTTTTTTCCATAGTTTGTACACTGCAAGGCGGGCGGTAATGTTTATGCCAAACAACAATTATCCATTTATTCATAATCTCCCCGCAAATTCCTATTTCTTATGACATATATCGATACTGAATGCTATGAATTGCAGCATATGTAAAGTTGTCATAAAGTTCTAAATAAAACGTCAATTATTTCAAATATGTCGTAAAATCTTATTTCCGCCAGAAAGAAACTTTCTTTTGTGCAAATTGGTCCACTTTCCTATCCTTGGTAAGAATTCCTTATTCCTTAAATAATTTAATAAATATCCATAGAAAAGAAATCCTAATTCCTGTGTTTTATTTTCTTTCTTTTTTTCATTCCTTGCTTATTAAATTATTCTGAGTTACAAAATATATTCATATATTTTGTTTTGGCTCATAGAGAATAATAAAGTTTTCCAATCATCCAGCCTTTCATCCCCATCCAAAGCTTTGAGCGAAACAGATAGATCGGTATATTTATTGGTACAGGTTTAAAAATGCGGTAATTCAAGGCTCCGATATGGTTGCAAATAACATTTATAGTTTTCATGTTATAACAGTCGTTTATATATCTTTTTATTGCATTATAGTTGCCATTTGTTTTGGTATATAATTTATTGCATAATACATTTTTAGAAAATTGCCAATTGGATAGATCGGTAGAATTATTTTCACAGCTTTAAAAAGGCGGTAATTTGAGGTTCCGATATGGTTGCAAATAACATTGACAGTTTTCATGCTATGACAGTCATTTATGCTTCATTTTAAAGCATTATGATTGCACTTTAATATGGTATATCATTTGTAGCATAATGTGTGTTTTTACGAATTGGTGAATTTGATAGATCGGTAGAATTATTGTTCTATGTTTAATAAACGCGGTAATCTGAGGTTCCGATATGGCTGCAATTAACTTTGGCAGTTTTCGCGCTAGGACAGTCGTTTATGCACCATTTTAAAGCATTAAAATTGCCATTTGTTTTGGTATATAATTTATTGCATAATGTATTTTTAGAAAACGGCCAATTGGATAAATCGGTAGAATTATTTTCCCAGGTTTAAAAACGCGGTAATTTGAGGTTCCGATATGGTTGTGAATAACTTTGACAGTTTTCATGCTATGAGAGTCATTTATGCATCATTTTAAAGCATTACAGTTGCACTTTGTTTTTGTGTATAATTTGTGGTATAATGAATTTTTACAAAAATTGGATAGATCGGTATATTTATTGGTACAGGTTTAAAAATGCGGTAATTTAAGGCCCCGATATGGTTGCAAATAACTTTTATAGTTTTCATGTTATAACAGTCGTTTATACATCTTTTTATTGCATTTTAGTTGCCATTTGTTTTGGTATATAATTTATTGCATAATGTATATTTAGAAGATGGCCAATTGGATAGATCGATAGAATTATTTTCCCAGGTTTAAAAAGGCGGTAATTTGAGGTTCCGATATGGTTGTGAATTACTTTGACAGTTTTCATGCTATGACAGTCATTTATGCATCATTTTAAAGCATTATGATTGCACTTTAATATGGTATATAATTTGTAGCATAATGTGTGTTTTTACAAATTGGTCAATTTGATAAATCGGTAGAATTATTGTTCTATGTTTAATAAACGCGGTAATCTGAGGTTCCGATATGGCTGCAATTAACTTTGGCAGTTTTCGTGCTAGGACAGTCGTTTATGCACCATTTTAAAGCATTAAAATTGCCATTTGTTTTGGTATATAATTTATTGCATAATGTATTTTTAGAAAACGGCCAATTGGATAAATCGGTAGAATTATTTTCCCAGGTTTAAAAACGCGGTAATTTGAGGTTCCGATATGGTTGTGAATAACTTTGACAGTTTTCATGCTATGACAGTCATTTATGCATCATTTTAAAGCATTACGATTGCACTTTGTTTTTGTGTATAATTTGTGGCATAATAAATTTTTACAAAAATTGGATAGATCGGTAGAATTATTGTTCTATTTTTAAAACGCGGTAATTTAAGGCCCCGATATGGTTGCAAATAACTTTTATAGTTTTCATGTCATAACAGTCGTTTATACATCTTTTATTGCATTTTAATTGCCATTTGTTTTGGTATATAATTTATTGCATAATGTATTTTTAGAAGATGGCCAATTGGATAGATCGATAGAATTATTTTCCCAGGTTTAAAAAGGCGGCAATTTGAGGTTCCGATATGGTTGTGAATCATAGATGGGCACTTTGCAGTACCAGTAAAAATGCAGTAAAAATAGAATTTTACTGATTACTGAAAAAATTTTCAGTATTCAGTGAAGTTTTACTGATTTCTGAAAAAAAAATCAGTAATAAGTAAATTTTTACTGAATACTGAGAAAAAATCAGTATTAGTAAATTTTTACTGAATACTGAAAAAAAATCAGTAAGCAGTAATTTTTACTGATTAATGAAAAAAAATTCAGTATTCAGTAAATTTTTACTGAATACTGAAAAAATCAGTATCAATATATTGAAATCCATTACGCATTACCGGTAAGATGTTATTAGTAGAAATATTTAACTAAAGCCGTAGCCCACTGGGTTTGAACCGAAGACCTCACGATTGCTGGTCGCCGTTCTACTCACAACACCACCTCCTTATTTATTTAGTTATGCGTTCTTAAGTACTAGTTAGTAAAAACTTAATGCTTTTTATATTTTTTTATACCCTCCACCACCATCAGTGGTGATAGAGGGTATAT